GGAAACTGACGCGAGATCCAGGCGATGGCCGCCAGTGGAGAACTGCGGTCCGAGACTCGCACATCCGCTCGCATGTTCTTCATTGTTCTGCAAGATGTGGGATTTGGTGGCTCAAGACATCTCAAGACTCAGGCTGGGCCAAGTAGCGATGGCGATCCGTTTGCAGGTTGCGGCCCCAAAGCAGACGAGCTGGAGGTTGTGTAACCCTTTTTCTACTTCATGGCCGTTGATCACGGGACGGCAGGCCTTTTCGCTATGCGTCAGAGCAGGCTTGTCGCTCCGAAGGCGGGGCAACGCCATGAGGTGCCAGAGCTTTTTTTGCGCAGCCCCGATGAACAACGCGATAGGCTCAAGCCCTGCATGAAGCCGACAGTTCGAACTCCAGGCACCTTGCGCATCCTCATGTAAACGGTGCTTTCATGAAAGAGACTTGAAGAGACCCTTGTTGGTGTTCGGGGGCCGACTACACTTGATATACACGCTTTCTCTATTCTCTACACTCCTTACCTTAGACTTTCCGATTTCCTTCGTTCAAAGATCTTGGCATAAGGGCTGCACATTGGCTTAGCTTTGGTTTTAGTGCGTACGTACAGCGTACACATACTTATTCTGTTGTAGAATCTTGTAGTAGACCATTATACAAGTATATTTTACTAGGACATAGTAGCTGATATCGGGCTTGGTGCTCGAGGTGTAATTTAAAGGGTGTGAGAGAGTTGGGTGGATTCTATGTTTAGGTACAAGATTGGTTTTCGTTCATGAGATGTTTCAGTTCCAGAGCTAGGGTCCAAATTGGTCCAAGCTTTCAGGGTTGACACACTGCCCAATCAAATCCTTCTGATTCTCTGCCCGCCCGTTGCCGATTCAGGTCACTCACAAAGCCTCAAACGATTCCCGCATTCCTTGGCAGCGCTGAATTGAACTCCCCTACTTAGTACCGGCAAGCGTCTGTCAGATTCCAGGCATGAGCCCGAGCCAAAATCGAGCGAGCCGGCGGTGCTGCCGGCGCATGAAGTGGAAGCACCGAGGCATGGTCGGATTCGTCGGGTCGCCTATCCGCACGGCGAGAGGAGTGATTTCAAGTCTTAGTCTTTCAAGCCTTTGGAGGGTGGTGCGACGCCCAGAGGATCGACCGCGGGGGCCTGGATGGTGCGCCAATCGTTCGAGTGAGACAGAGTTGCAGTATGTTGCAATGAGCTGCATCAGCTTTCCTCGTGTCGCCTTGCTTTGCTGGCAGGCAAAGACTGCCACAACATTCCAGCAGTGCCCCCAAAGATGCGGAGAAACATGGCGACAGCCAGGAGCCAGTGCTGCGTCAGGACTGGGGCAATCGAAGCTTACATACTGTTCAAATACTGTTTATATTATACGGTTTATAGATTCTTACAGACTGTTTATAGACTGTTTATATACTGTTTGTGCTCGTTGTTTTTGCTTCCAGCGTTTCACGCTGAGTTGGCTCTGGTTGTTCTATGCTGTGCACTTAGTTTCGAGAACCCAGCGCGAGAGTCCTCTTCTGACAGGATGTCGACAGCTCGTCTGCGTGGGGTTTAGGCCAGTCTTCCCGTCAAGCAGCGTGGTTCTGCGGGTCCAGTCATCCCCCAATGAGTTAATACCCTGGCCTTCTGGCTTGTGAGCTGTGAAAGCTGCAGATAGTGTACACTAGTACGTCACTAGGCACGCTCGGTACAAGCAGTTAAAGACGCGGTGCTGGCGGACGAGCTGCTGCAAGCTATGTAGATGAATCAGTTGCAGGCGAGTGGGTACCCAGTGGACTTGCCCCTCCGCTCTCAACCTACAACGGTCTAAGCGAAGACCTCAGATCCAAGACTTTGCGGTTTGTTTGCTAGGACTCCTACAGCAGACACTGCCAGACCAAGAGACAAGGCAAAGATCTGTGGATGGGACGGGGGCGAGAAGAACAGGAGCACAGACCTCAGAAGGCCTTCAGCAGCCTTCAGCATCCTTCAGCATCCTTCAGCATCCTTCAGCATCCTTCAGCACAGCAGATGTCACATCTGTTGAACACCTGGGTTGCGTCGCTGAATTGTCCTAGAACTTTCTGGGGTCAAGCATCAAGGTTGGATGCTGAAGAACTTGACCTGGACGCCGATCAAGAACTTGTCCTTGTCTCGGCGGTAAATTCGGGCAAGCTGGCAGCATATGCACTGCTACACGGCACCCTAGGTGTCGGCGCGAACTGTCGAGCACTGGCACGAGGAGTCAATGCTGCGATTGGAACTCACATCTGGGCGCATTCTCAATTCTGAAACAGGACTTTCAACTAGGAAGCAGGCCCAGGCCCACCCACAAACCTGAAGTAGCATCCAGTGAGGTAAATTTAGCGCGTGGCTTTCACTCTCGCACCTTGTAGCCAATAGTTGCTTCTGAAAGGTTTGTCCCGCAAACGTTCACCCCGAATAAACGTGTAGGTGGTTGAGGTTTGACCGCTTCAGGCTTAGGAAATCGGTTCCTCCCAGTGCCCGTGACCAATCTGTTTCCTCGGTTACACTCTCCCTCTCTTCTGTCTCGTGTCCCTCCTGCTCTCCTCCTCTCTTCCACACCTCTTTCTCCTTTCCCCTCCGTCCCTCCTGACTCCTGACTCACCCTCCTGTCTTCCTTCCTCTCTCCGCTCTTTTCTCTGATTCTCTCTCCACAAAAGTACGGCAAACGCCGATCATGTGCATCTCTCATGAGGGGTATTGAGGGGTATTGTATAACGATAATGGCTTCCATTCCAGCGACGGCAAGCAAGGGTCCAGAAACATGCTCTGCCGACAGCAGTCACAGTCTCCCTAGTCACCTGCCAAACAGCTTCCACGCAGTTTGCCACTAGTTTGCTGTCAGGACGTGGAGGAGGGTCAGGGGTCGTCTGGCCGCATGCAAGCTGCGACGCAGGCCAATCAGTCTGTCAATCTGGGGCCTCATGAACCGTCTGCGCGACCTTGGAGTGCGCTTCGCATGGAATTCAGTTTTCTCATCAACAGGTGTCAAAGGGGCGCACGCTGCCTCAAACCTAGCGTTGTTGTCACATGATCACACGATCGTGAGACTGAAGCAGAGAGATTTCCGTGGCCTAGGCGAACACAGCTGGACGAACTCCGGGCACAAGCTCGGGTCCAAGATTAACTTTTCCGTTGAGAAACTTTCCCTGTCCTGATTCGTCCATTGATGGCTGTGAAATTCTTGCGACAGTCTGCGCCTCCAAAGTCAAAGCCGAGTGGGCAGTGACCTCAGGGATCTTTCCTGCCACGTGTCAATTACCATGCCTCCTGTTGCCGAAATGCCATAAGGTCGTCATGGTTTGGGAGACCTTCCGCCGCGTCCGCCTCCCTCCGACCAGCAGGTCCAAGCTGAGCATGGGATGAGGATGAGTCTGCCACGTGTCACTGGTGCAGCATAGGGCCGGCCACCACTGTTGCTGAAGATCGGCGCGCTAGGCAGCGCCCCTCATATTTTCCATGAGCAATCGTTTTGGGCCTGCTGAACAGTGGCCTGCAGGGCGGTGGCCCGGCAACAAGAGATGTTGCTGTCGCAGATGGTCCTCGAGGCATCGCAACCGTCATCGGACAGAGGCAGGTGCCCGCGTCAAGCCTTCTCTCCAAAGGCGCTTGTTTCAACTCCTGAGTCAGGTGAGAATGAGATAGAACTTCCCGTCCCGACAAGATCAGGGACCTTTGGAAAGGCCCACAAGATCTAGGAGGCCTAATGCGGCCAATGGCTGTTCTGAGTTTGCCCAGGCCCGGAGTTGGTTCAGCCAAAGTTCGGCCGGGACAAGGGCCAAATCCACAGAGTCCCTTCGAGGCCAGGTCAAAGAGACGTCGTCGACTCGTCCAGTTGATGCTGAGTTGATGCCAAGTGCACAGCAAGTGCACCTGCACTGTGCCTCGGAAGGCCCCAAGTCATCGCACAGCTCAAGAAGTTCAAGGTTCCGAATTTGGAAGCATTTGAAGACGACATTGTCCATTACCAGTCGTAGCATTGTCGGTTCCCCCCACTTTCGCCTCGGCCTGCCATTCTGTCGCACATCTGTTTGTGGCCGTTTGTCTTGTTCAGGTTTCATGTCTTCTCGAGCCGCGAGTTTGCAAACTGAGGGGCTGGTGCTAACGTATGCCGAGCAGATAGAACGTTTGCGTCGTTCGGCCAGTCTCACACTGAAAAGGATGCCTGCTTGGTGTCATGGTGCAAGATGCTGGTGCAAGCACTGCCCAGTCGCTTGTCACTGTCCAAGTGCCTCAAAGTGCAGAGGCGTCGCTAGACCATCGTGTTCGGCCTGATGCGCAGTTGAGTGGTGCCTCGGCCTCATTTGATTCGGCCTAGCGCTATCTCTTCTGTAGGCTCTTCAAGCTGTTTTGCTCCAAGGCTCTCATCGCAAGTTTGGGACGCAGCGAGAAATGGGCTGAAGCTCTTTCTGTTCTGCAGGACGGCCATTCGTGCCAATGTTCTGAGCAACAGAGAGACTTCCTCAACTTCACCGCCCTGTCCGAGGACTCCATAGGGTCTTCAAGCACCATTGCATTCAATGCAACCATCTCGGCCTGCGAGAAGGGGAACCAGTGGGCACAGGTCACCTCCCCAGCAAGCCAACTCTACCGCAGCTTGCTGTTGTGCGCGTGCTGCAACAATGGAAGCGAAGTTGCACGGTTGGGACCGCAGGCCGTAGCAGTCTTGGATACCATGACGGCTGTGAAAGTGCGAGCAGACACCATCTCCTTCAGTACGAAGCTCAGAGAAGACTTGACTTTCAGTGTCCGGGTCAGTCTCATCGTCGCATTGAGTTACTGTGCAGTACAATGCTCCGTATTTGCCTCAGTCTATCCTTGTAAAGTGGAAAGATGGGCTCTTGAAGCATTGTCTCGAAGCGAAGGTAGCACCATTAGCGCCTGCGAGAAGTGCTGGCAGTGGGAGCGTGCTGGCCCCCCAGAGAGGCGACTTCCACTTCTGTGGCCAAGTGATCTTGTCTGCACAAAGGCTCTGACCCTACTGTGCCAGCTACAGAGGCGATGGCAACCGCGTCTTTGAGCAGCAAACGGTTGAGCAAGTCCATCTAGAGTTCGGAAGTCGATGTGACGCTCGCCTGTGTATAGTGTGCAGGGGCAGGTCGTTCAGCCGTCAATCTCCGCAGCATCGATGTTTAACCTTCTGCGAAAAGGAGCGCCGACTCCTTCCCTTGCTGCTGTGCTTTGCTTTGCCGGTTGTGTGGTTGCACTTAGTGTTGCCAAGGCGATTTATATTGGTAGCGTGAGCTTAGGGGGGGCTTAGGATAGGCTGCTGCCTCTGCTTTCTGAGCCTCGCTGATGGAGGCGTCTGCGGCGCCTGCCGCATCGGATGTTCCGGTGCCCGAAAGTGATCCATGGGATGAAGCAGACCCTTGGGGAGAAGCAGCCGCTGATGAACACGATGACTTTGGCTTGCATGCTGAAGGAGGTGTCTCGGCGGCGGCTTCTTGTGAGCAGTGGCGTCCCACTTTGAGTCCCCGACCTGCTGGGAATGAAAGAGCGCCTACGCAGGCTGAACAGATTGGATGGTGGGGCACTGCTGATGTGCAGCCTCCTGGGCTTCCTGCTGGAGGCTTTGGGATAGGCTGTGTACCTCAAGGGTGGCCTCCTGGATATGCTGGGCCTGCTTGTGTGCCCCCAGGGTGGCCAGCTGCTTATCAGGGAGGTCCTGGAGTTTTCGGCCCACATGGCGTTCCTCCAGGTTGGCCCGCTGGAGCGCAAGTACCTTCAAGTGTTCATCCTGGTTGGCCTGCTGGAGCGCAAGTACCCTCAAGTGTTCCTCCTGGTTGGCCCGCTGGAGCGCAAGTACCCTCAAGTGTTCATCCTGGTTGGCCTGCTGGAGCGCAAGTACCCTCAAGTGTTCCTCCTGGTTGGCCCGCTGGAGCGCAAGTACCCTCAAGTGTTCCTCCTGGTTGGCCTGCTGCAGCGCAAGTACCCTCAAGTGTTCCTCCTGGTTGGCCCGCTGGAGCGCAAGTACCCTCAAGTGTTCCTCCTGGTTGGCCTTGTGCAGCGCAAGTACCCTCAAGTGTTCCTCCTGGTTGGCTTGCTGGAGCGCATGTACCTTCAGGTGTTCCTCCTGAGTGGCTAGGTGTGCCAGGGCATAGTGCCGGCGGGCGTCCTGGTGATCTTGGCTCAGGGCAAGTACCAGTGCCACAGGTGGAGGCCCAGGCATCCACGGGACGTTTGCAGATGAGGACGGGCATGGTTTCAGTATCTCGCGATGGTGCTGGCGAGGATGTTGGCAGCAGCAGTGCTGGGACCTCGGAGATCAAGAGTTTGCTTCGCCGCCGGGCCAGGGAGCAAGAACGGCCCAAGTCGAGCATTGGTTCGGTGAAGATCGAAGATTTTTACGGGGACCGCAAGAAGTTCAAGGCTTGGCGGCGTGCCACAGAAGCACAGGAGCACCTTTACCGTCTGGAGCAGTCAGAGCTGGCCATGCTGCTTTACCTTAGCACAAAAGGGGAAGCGCGGGACATCCTTGATCAACGCCCTCTTTCCGATTATACTTCACCGGGCGGCTTGACGGTGATGTGGAGCCTGCTGGAGGAGACGTTCGGTGAGTCGAATGCCGAGAGCTTCGAGAGGGCAGAGAAGGAGCTTGCTGCGTACCGTCGCTTGCCGGGCCAGAGTGTTGCATCGTACGTGGCGGGTCTCAAGCGGTTGAGGATGAACTACACTGTGGAGGACCCTGACAGCACGTGGAGCAACAAGGCGTGGGCGCAGCGGCTTTTGAACAGAGCAGGCCTTAGCAGGCGAGACAGGCTGGATGTTTTCTACAGTGCCGGGGCTTGCTACGACACCGAGTCGATTGAGAAGGCGCTGCGCCACAGGTGTGCCCATATACACGAGGAGGAGCGCAGGCTCCCATCCTTGTCTCGTTCCGGAAGATCCTCTTTGAGATCTGTGCCTTCCTCGACGGCTTCTACAACTTCTGCCTCTACCTCGGCAAGTCCGGCGCGGAGGCCGTTTCGAAAGCACACAGCCCACGTAGCGGACCAGCCCGACGAGGAGGCCGAGGAGAATGACGATGAAGACTTGGAACAAGAAGCCGTGGATGGTGCAATGGCTGAGCCTGAAGGCGAGGAGCTTGAGGATGAGAATGGGGGCGATGCTGAGTTGCACGAGGGGTCTGATGAGGAGCTGCCCGACATCTATGAAGCGTTTCAAGCTGGGTGGCGCGCCAAAACGAAAGTCAACACGAAGAAGAAGACCCGGGGTTTCAAGCAGCCTGGTTCTACCTCGTCCCCGAGCAGCACTTCGAAGAGTTTGGCAGCAAAGAAGCGCCACTCTACGTGCGCAAGCTGTGGCTCGGTTGGCCACTGGAAAGGAGATCCAGAATGCCCCAATGTTCGAAGTGGCAGAGACTCTTTGCACCGGCCGGGTTCGGCGCAGGGTGCCAATGAGGTGAACTTCGTGAATTACACGTTCATGGTGGGCAGTATGGTGGAGTGTCCTGGCTGTGGTGACTTCTGCGCCGAAGGTGCAGCCTTTTGCTCCACTTGTGGAGCCCGGCTGTGCAAGAGAGAATGGGCTCTGGTTGGTGACCAGATTGGTGGGGCTACTGCCGGGGCTTCTTCTACGGGGCCCGCGCAGGTTGCTCCTTCAATCGCTGCAGCTCCTCCCCGACCCATGCGTGTGGAAGTCCCGAAGACCGCGCTGGGCAAGAGCAAGGATGACAAAAAGATCAAATTGAAGCCCTTGGAGCTCCTTGGAGCCGTGGACCAGCTGACGAAGGAAGAGAAGAAGGCCATCCGAACTGTCCTGAGAAGGGAGGAGGAAGATGAGGCCTGGGCCGTTCTTCATGGTTCCCGTCCGTATGCTTCGGAGGGGAATGGAGCGCTCAACTTTGATCCCCCAGCCCGTGGGCGTGATGCGCCCGGACCAGCGCGTGACCATGATCAGCTTCCTCTTTGCCCTGGTAGCCGAGGAGGGGCTCCATGTAATGAGCCACTGCGTCCGCCAGCTTTGAAGGATGCTGTCGGCCGAGACAAAGCCAAGGCAGTGCGCCAGCGCGAGTTGGAGGAGTTTCGCCACGACTTGTATGAGCGACAGTTGGAAGGCCATCGTTGTGTCCCTGGTGCTGCGGCCCCTCGACCTTCTGAACAACAAGCACGGTGTCACCATCGGTATGGGGATTTGCTGTGGACGGCCAACCAACATGGGCATTTTGCCCGTTGCTCCCGCTGCGACCTCAAGCACATCATCTACTTCAGTGTGCGCCACGGTGCGCTCATGGCGAGCCAGATTTACGAGAACGAGGTGCTGGAGGAAACCCCGGCCGCGACATGGGCTCCTGGTTTGGCTGTGGCAGACACAGGCTGCCGCACAGCCGTTGGAGGAGCTCGGTGGCATGAGACACTTCAAGCTGAGCTACGACGGCGAGGCATCACTTGGCAGACGGTGGAAGAGCAGGAGACGTTCCAGTTCGGAAGTGGCAGTTCGACTTCAGGACGCGGGAGCTGGAGGTGCTGGGCTGTCGCCGGGCTATGCGCCTGACCCCTACTCGGCATCCTGCCTTGGACTTGCTGGCGTATGTCGGCGAGCAGAACCCTTGGTGCCAGCCCGGCATGCAGGAGAAGTGTGCGCAGCTCAAACAGGCTCCTCAAAGCATGGCCTTTGTCACTGGTGAGGGGAGCTGACTGCGGATTCCGAAGAAGTGCCCTCAGAGGAAGCGCTACTCTCTGATGGTGTTGGAGATGATCCGCGGTACGAGCGCAGCCGCGACAAGAAGGCCCGTATTGATGAAGAAAGTCGTTGGCTGGCATTTTTGAGGGAGGACCTCGGAGTGAAGGTCATTGAGGATTGTCGTTTTCTTCGTGATCGCCCCGACCATGCCGACGATGAGGCTAGCCTGGCCTCTTCTGGGTTGCATCCTGAGGACGATGCTGCCTCCATTACCTCACACGAGTTCGGGGTGCAGCGCGAAACTTCAGACGAGGAAGTGCATTCTGAGGACGAGCCGGAGCTTATAAGGGACGAGGATGTCTTTGAGGGCAAGACGGTGCTCTTTTTGCACAAAGAGAAGCGCAAGAAGCTCAACCAGCTTCCCGTGCGATTCGTGACATGGCTGTTTGTGGTCGAGCCTGCGCTGTTCCTCGTGGGCCACCGCTGCCTGTGGCGCGGCCTTCTACCACTCGGCGCCCTGGCCCTTGGCGTGTGCTGGAAGTCTTTGTGAGTACTATGGCTATTAGCATGATGGCGGCGGCATGCGGTTGGCAATCTGGCCAGCCGGTGGATGCGCCTCACTTCGACCTTACCCGCCCGCTGGTCCGGACAGAGGCTAGGACTTACTTTGAAAGATGGCAGCCTGATCTCCTTGCGTTGTGTTTGCCGTCGACTTCGCCTATGACAACCAGCTTTGGTGTGCCTACAGCCATTTCCCTTCAGGCACACAGCGCCGAGCAAGTCCGCCAGGCCCCCTTGTGGCGTTTTGCCCACGATCTCATTGTGGCTCAGCGTGCTCGCGGCGGTCTTGTCTTGGTCTATGGTGCTGACCGGCATCCTTTGTGGGTGCACCCTCTGTGGACAGCAGCCTTGGAAGGCTTACCTAAGGCTCACACAGACCTTTGTGCTTGGCCATGCCCTGGCGCACCTCCTACGCTACAACAGCGCACCCTCGTCGCTGCTGACAGCCCCGTACTACGACGTGTTGTCAAACTTTGCCCTGGCCCGCCGATCCATCGACACTCTTTTGGTTCGGAGTCGGGGCCTCGACGACACCAGTGCGGCCGATGGATCTGCAACGATGCTCGTCTTCTACCTGACTCGTGGTGCCGGGCGGTGGTTAAGGGGGCGCAGGCGGCTTTGGAACAGAGGACACGCATGTTGGTGGTGCCCACCCTCTTTACGAGGCCGAAGCTTCTTCCCGAGGAGGCATTTGTCGAGGACGATGTGGAGGTTTTGGCCGAACCGCCGGAGCCGCAAGAGGAAGCCAGCGAGATTGAGGGTTGGCGTGCTGAGCTGGAAAGTTGGGGTGACAGGGCGATCGAGGCCGCAAACGA